TTGATTACTTTACAAAATGGGCTGAGGTCAAGCCACTGGAAACTATAATAGAGCAGAAAATAAAAAATTTTGTTTAGAAATCTATTATGTGCAGGCTCGAAATCTCCAAAGCCATTATTTTTTATACGGTAAGTAGTTCGACAACTTGACCTTCACAAATTTCTATTCAGAGCTCAACATAAAGAATTATTTCTCAGCTTTAGCTCACCCCCAATCTAATGGTCAAGTAGAGGTCACCAAAGATCTAAGGCAAGTCTCGAGGTATTAAAGGGTCAGTAGGTAGACCACCTCCCAAGTGTGCTTTGGGCATATAGGATAATAGCTCGGACAGCTACAAATAAAACTCCCTTCAACTTGGCCTTTGGTATAGAGGTCATCGTGCTAGTGGAGATTGGGCTTCCGTCTCTCAGAGTTGAACCTTTTAACTTCGATCAGAATGATCAATCCCTACTCGTGAACCTTAACCTCATGGATGAGAAAAAGAAATGAGGTATTGCAAAGGATCTCCTATTACCAAAAGAGGACAACACAGTTTGGGATCTCATCCTAAAAAAGATATTACCTACAAGGAAACACCCCAGACATGGAAAGTTGGGCCCTAATTGGAAAGGACCTGACATAGTGAAAAGGGACATCAGGCCTAGCAATTATGAGCTGCAGAATGAAGAAGGGAAAGACCTAGCACACTCATGGAATGCAGATCACCTTAAGAAGTTCTACCAATGATAGGTTGGATGCCCTCAATTTTAAAATTTTGTGAACACCTCTTCTTATAGGATAGTTATGAACATTGAGATCAATAAAACCTTTGCAAAATCTTGACACAAAAATTCTTGAGTACGTAAAAATTTTCCTAGTGTGGCGTTCGAACAAAGCTTCCAAGCTCGTCTACTAAAGATGAGCTCTCCTGCTCATACTTAAAATAAGCTTTTCAACATATAGAGCATCTTTAGCTCGTACTTGAGATAAGCTTTTCAGCTTATAGAGCATTTCAACTCATGCTAAAGATAAGCTCTTCTACTTATACTTGAGATATAATTTTCAATCGATACAACATTTTAGTTAGTGCTAAAGATGAGCTCTTTAGCTTATACTTGATATAGGCTTTTTTAACTTATAGAGCATTCTAGCTCATGCTAAAGATGAGCTTTTCAGCTCATACTTGAGATAAGATTTTCAACTTCTAGAGTATCTCAACTCAAACTAAAGATGAGCTCTTCAGCTCATATTTGAGATATGCTTTTTAGCTTATAGAGCATTTAAGCTCTCACAAACCCTAACCAAGTTCTAAGTCACTAAGTCCATGGAGCCACCAAGAGCTAGGACTTAGTCGATAGAATTATAAACAAGATCATCACTACTACAAGACATTTGCCTTCTAGCAATTTAAGAGGCAGGGATGTACTGATGTCTTGCATAAAGATAACGAAAGGGTTTTCTCCCCCTCAAGCCAAGGAACCTTAAATCTAGTATTGACGAGAGACTTGGGGTCCATGGGTTTGGTCAGACGTCCCCGTTTCCCTTTCCTCCTCTTTATTGCCTCTTGAGCTTCGCTCAGCTTGGGCGCCATAGGGGTCAAGGTTTGTAAAAAACAAAAAGGTAAGGTAAGTGTTGAGCTCATACCAATAGGGTCTTGCTGGATTGTAAGGGGAACGTTCTCGTCCTTAAAAGGGGTAGATCTGGATAGAGCTGGAGCTAGAAGCTTTTCAAGCACTAGAGGGGCAAAGTTGTACTTTAATAGATTCTTAGAACTCACAAGCTCCTTAAAAGTACTCGTGTTACCTTCTCTATCCTTGCAACACTGAGCTCTTCAGAAGGAGTCAACTCAGGTCGGAGTACTACCAAGTCAAAAAAGGAAAAAAGTTATTAGTATTAAAGCAAGAAGATCATGCCAAGAAGAAAATCTTGCTGGAAGATAGATACTCATTCAAATTGTTGGGCTTCCCCCAAAGCTAAGGAACATGAATACCGTTAGAGGCATCGTTTAGATCTTTCTCCCAAGCGTCACCCAAAACATAGAAGAAATGCTCCTTCTAGGTTTTATGAGAAGAAGGAGAACCTATGACTATGGCATGGACATTAACATGCTTGGAGATATAGAAAAATGCATCTATTGGGGAGCACTAGACTTTGAAGAAGTGGGGGAGCTTGGCCATGCAAGGAGCTCGTCCTAGAACATACTCTCTCTAGAAGACTAAGAGGCCGACCAATGTCCCACAAAAATTAGGAGACATCCTTAAGGGACAAATGTTAAAGTATCGAAGGACACTTTTCAGAAAGGGATGCATAGGAAACCAAAGACCTAACTTAAAGACTGAAACAAAAAATAGGTCTTCCCAGCCAGATAGATGTTACAATGATCTATGACTAAAAGAGTGTAAACTACAACACCTATAGAGAATTGGTAATAGCTAACCAAAGATTGAAGCCTATGCTCAGTAACATGGCTTTGGGGAAATGGTACGAATGACCCTTGCAAGTCTCCAGACCAGCCTGAGGTATTGAGTTTGTCTAAAGGAGAAGCTTGAGAGAACTTGGAAACCCTTTTCTCAAGGGCCCTCTTCTCTTACCACGACCAGAAGTCCCCTCCTTAGGCGTATTCTTAAGAAGGAGGGGGGGGAATCTTCTAATGAGAAGTGGGTTCTCATCCCTTTCCAAATCTATTTCTTTTCTATGGGGAGAGGACTCAAACTTAGGATCCTCATTTTCATCCCCAAACATAAGGGAAATGGAAGACCTAGTAGCTTCAGATGAAGGCCCAGACATATCTAAGGTCAAGGGTATGAAATAACCTAGCCTAGAATAAAAATAAGGGTATATACTTATAGAGCAATCCTAGATGGCAAAAGGGTCCAAGCACCAACGTGTAAGAAGGAAAACCTTTGTTGTGGCAAAAGGCTCTAAGAAGAAAGAAAGAGCTACTAAAGACCTACCTAGACCCCTAAAATATTGGAAATGGAGTATTAAGAAGTGGAGGCCTTGAGACCACCACTGAGGAACAAAACGATCCAGTCTTGATGCGAAGAAGTTAGAAGGAAAAAAAAAAGTACATAGAGGACAAAGATGGCAGGCAAAGATGAAGAACTTAGACACGAACAAAATGAGCACCGAATAACCTAAGCCTGAAACCGCCTAAGTTATTCAAATCTCTGAATTGATACCTCTCAAATCTAACAAGAACACTCTAGAAATTGCAAGAGAAATTTGGGAAATTTTTTTTGAGAGTTTGAAGGGTTTTGGTAATGAGAAAAATCAAGCTTGATAGGGTTTAAATAAAAAGGATTTTGACATTTTGCTCTTAATGCATATTAATTACACCTACACGTTGCTCCACATGGCACAATGTAACTGGTGTAGTCCAAAAAATGAGATTTTCCTTGCGCCCCACACCTGCATGATGCCGTAATACTAGTGAAACCATCCTCTCACGTCTTTTCAACTGTCCAAAGCATCCTGAGCAGGTTTTAAAGAGAGGCAACACCTTGAAGAGACAAAGGGCTTAGTCCCAAGCTACACCCAAGACAAGCAGGTCGAGCTCAGGATTGGGAGCAATTGATGATATCCAAAAACAACATCAGGAATAAATAAAAGAATACTTCAATAATTGGTTTGTGAAAAACGCCAATGGATTAGGTCTATCTCTTGACCTCAAGGTTGTACACTCAGTCTTAGGTGAAAATGTCTAAGTAGTTCACATCCTCAATCAAAGGAATCTAGGTCACCCCAAGTGTGACCTCAAGTATAGGAACCCAGGTCATACTTGCTACCCCATGAGGAGAAGTGACATCTCTAGCTCAGGTAAGATGTTTGGGTCAATTTCCTTTATTCACGAGTTAGCTAAAATTATAGGAGGTCGTCCCAAAGCAGAACGACCTCACAATAAGATCTTTCAAAGGTCTGGAGGATCATAACGTATCCAAGCTTGAAGATAGGCCACAATGTCACCTCAACATGTTCTAGAAAACTACATCACACTTAGGGAATATAGTTTCTAACGGCCCAATATTTTCTCAACAAAATCNTTTCAAAGGTCTGGAGGATCATAACGTATCCAAGCTTGAAGATAGGCCACAATGTCACCTCAACATGTTCTAGAAAGCTACATCACACTTAGGGAATATAGTTTCTAACGGCCCAATATTTTCTCAACAAAATCTTAATAAACTTAGGGATCATGTGATGCTGACATTAGGACTATCCCTCTTATGGGTATAAATACAAAGGCATTCACCCATGTAAAGAGACTCAATGAAATGTAACCTAGCCTTCTTCCCCAAGTAATATAAAACCTTCTAAGAGCACGAAACTTCATTAGAGTGGATTAGCCAAACTTTTTAGTTGGCTCAATCTCAGATCGTCTTCTTCTCCACTATTCACTCATATACCAATATTCATAAGCCTTAAGCTCTTCATCTTGAACTTTCCTCTCATGTTTCCAGTTACTACATCATCAACAACCATTACGTTGCTCAAAACTATGGTGCATACTCTTTGTAGAGAAAGGAATGGAAGGAGTTTTGAGAACCTCTATCTTGATGCTGCATCCATTCAGGGCAGAGTTTATCACCATGGTGCATAGCAAATTCATGTCACTTGGATTCAAGGAACATATTAGTACTTTCGCACGAACTGTAGGAGAATGTATTCATAAGTGTAGTAGCGCAAAGAACTAACACTCTTATTGGATTCACTCTACGTGGCTTAGCAGACATTTTAAAGTGGTCTGTTTTTGTCGGGGCCACCGATAGATAATGTACATTGTTCAAAGATATCAATCCAAAATGTAATTGCCCAAAACAAGTCTGATAGGTCAAGTAGGATAAACAATTTGATATCGTGGATAAAGCCACTCTCAAGTAGTTTATCTTATCGCCATTCAAAACGAGAAAAAATCTTTATTTTATTAGTTCAAAATTATAATTTTTTTTTAAAATTATTCAAAAATGAAAATAACTTCAACTAAATTAGCTGTAAAAGCTATGTTTCTTTTTTTCTCCAATAATTCTTTATAATTGGAGGACATAGTGATAATAACGATTTTATATATGTAAAATCATGTCCGCACGCAAACTCTTCCTTTTAAAAGAATGCTACATTCACCATGAATCTGCGAAAATGTTTTTGACAGACTGCAAACATTTGTTTTGCTCAACAGTGCAATGTTTTTGCTCAAGAGTGCAATCTTTTTGCTCAACAGTTACATCCTCCATGTCAAACTGAACAAGAAGCTGTCTTTAATGGCTATTATACAGCTATTATTGAGCATGAAACTTGTCAATCCTAATTCCAAAAAAACAATACATGCATATTTCAAACATCACAATCACTAATATCATGACTTTTCAACAAACCACCAAACAACAGGAACTAAGATATAGCACTCAAAAGAAAGCACAAAGAACAGAGAGGAAGACTATTAGGTCTTGGAGTCTAAGGTCAGGATGGTGCTGAGATTCATTAGGGGCATGTACTTGGAGGTTCCGGTCAATATCTGCCGCACAACAAACCTGTTCGCCCTTTCGGATGGGTGGAATGGATCCCAGAATGCATAAATATCCCTGTTTGGGCATAAGTTGGAAAATAGTGTGCATAATCCAACTCCGTTATATGGTCCTTGTCCGCAGCAAGCTATCTTCGATGTAACAAATCCTGCCCAAACACAATTTGAACGTCACTCACTTCTACTAGTCAATTAATCATGCATTTTAACATTGTCTCCCTCCATTGTCAAATAAGTCTCAGTTGTAGGGGTGAGTGTAAGAACCTACTTGTGAGCTTACAAAGCAATCCCACGTCAGAAAGCTAATTACCATGAGTGCATACGTAAATCTTGTTTAAAATATAGTCCTGAACTTGCTATAGCGCTTGCTAGCTCCTTTTTTTGGAGTTCATATACAGTTGGACTCAAACTTAAACTCAAGCTAAGGATTGTTGAATAAATGCACTCAAACCTATTTGTTAAGTTTTTTTGAGATTATTTTACCGGCCAAAGTATAGTTTCCACCTAATCCATGGTAACTAACATTAAAAGTCTTTTAAGCAAAGCGAAACAAAATATTAATTTCTCCAAGTCTTCTGCATTTAGTTGCAGTAATACTGTTGAGTCCCCACCATTTCCTGTGCTAAAGCTACAGGCTCCATCCATGGCCATTATAACAAGAAGTCACCTTTTCCAAACTGACACAAAATCTCAGAGGTCTTATTTGGCCATTCCATCGAAGATAATTCTGTGTACTAAATTTTTGACCCACGGATCTAATGGTTGTAAGTGATTTTGTGCAAGCTCTTTCATCTATCAACTTTGGATTTGACTATAATACCGGAAAAAAAAAATCGGTCATAACTTTATTTACCAAATTTGTGATCATTTTTATCATATTTGTGAGTTTTTTTTACCCAAAAAAAGGTAAAAATAGTTACCATTAATGTAATAAAAGTACTCATAACGGTGGTAAAAAAAAACCCACAAAAGTGATAAATTACCCACAAATTTCGGCAAATTTTTTGGTTATAAAATAATCAATAAAAATTATAAAAACACCTATTGAAATAATAAAAGTTGAAGGTACAACACCAAATTTATTTCTTCCATACCACAATCAAGTCCATCAACTTGAGGCCTTCGGTCACCCTTTCATATCAGTTGTAATACTGGTCATCTAGCATTTATTATCCATTTAGAAAAAAACAAGAGGTTGTTGCATCTGCCATTCTTTGTTAACTAATGTTTTTTTTTTTTGAGAAATGCTATGCCACAAATCAAGTTCAGTGAGCCCAATACATTAGTTTTCATATCTAATGTGAGGTGCCCAGTGCATTTGAGATGGATTATTTGTGATTAATTTTGGACATCATAATATTTCTCTTTATTTTTTCTGCTTTTCTTTTTTAAAGAAAAGAAGGAAACTTCCAATCTTGTTTTGCATTCATCGTGGTGACACATCATGTGAATGTATGCAGTCAAGTATTAATTATACACATTTGTTAAACTTGAGTTTTATAGAATTGAAATACTTGACTCAAGGGATACGTCATATGGTAACAAAGATTAATTGTAAATTCAGACGTTTTGAATTCAAATTTTGACAATTCTTTGGAGTCAGACCATGAGAAATTTATCACTTATGAATACTTTAGTTCTAGCGTAGATGACATGTCTTTCACCAAGCGGAAGAGGGATTAGTGAAGTTACGCATAAGTTATTCTAGACATCACTGACCACTAAACCTTAAAAAATTAGAAAGACTTGATTGTAGGACATGTGGGATCATACTATGAGCAATGCTACCGAGATCTAATTTACTGACTTAATTCACTATAACATTTGAATTGATTGTAGACCCTATCAAATATTAAAACTTTGTGTTGATCTAATAATTACAATAAAATCACATGATTATATCAACAAATTATGTCAAATTTTTAGCTACAAATAATATTACTCTTCATGCTATTTCCTTTATTTGCAATGGAGGTTCATTTATTGTTAAGTTGCTTATGTCTACAGATGAAAAGACATGGCAGAAATGTATCAATGGAGGTTGACATACCATAAGCCTGTGGATCAGATATGAAGTCCATGTGCATTGGCATAGTATTTACAGGTATGAAGATATTTGCTCCAATCTGACTGTTTAGCCCGTTTATCATTTGAACGAGCTGTGGGTTGAACAAGGCTGCAGCTCGCTGCAATTCCACTGCACATTCTCCGGCTCTGCTCCGCATGGCTAGTTCTGCCGGCACACAACCCATTGGTCCTGTACCTGTCACAAGCACCCTTCTTCCTCCCAATTCATACAGCCTCTGCAATTGTACAGTATCAATTTGGCATAGGGAAAAAGTGAATATCAATTAGAGATTTTGATGATTCATACCAAAAAAGCTGTTGGAGGCAAATATAATTGAGGAAATATACTAGCGTCCCTTAATACTACATTATTGTTTAGAGCCNTTATTAATTATACACATTTGTTAAACTTGAGTTTTATAGAATTGAAATACTTGACTCAAGGGATACGTCATATGGTAATAAAGATTAATTGTAAATTCAGACGTTTTGAATTCGAATTTTGACAATTCTTTGGAGTCAGACCATGAGAGATTTATCACTTATGAATACTTCAGTTCTAGCGTAGATGACACGTCTTTCACCAGGCGGAAGAGGGATTAGTCAAGTTACGCATAAGCTATCCTAGACATCCCTGACCACTAAACCTTAAAAAATTAGAAAAGACTTGATTGTAGGACATGTGGGATCATACTATGAGGAATGCTACCGAGATCTAATTTTCTGACTTAATTCACTATAACATTTGAATTGATTGTAGACCCTATCAAATATTAAAACTTGGTGTTGATCTAATAATTACAATAAAATCACATGATTATATCAACAAATTATGTCAAATTTTTAGCTACAAATAAGATTACTCTTCATGCTATTTCCTTTATTTGCAATGGAGGTTCATTTATTGTTAAGTTGCTTATGTCTACAGATGAAAAGACATGGCAGAAATGTATCAATGGAGGTTGACATACCATAAGCCTGTGGATCAGATATGAAGTCCATGTGCATTGGCATAGTATTTACAGGTATGAAGATATTTGCTCCAATCTGACTGTTTAGCCCGTTTATCATTTGAACGAGCTGTGGGTTGAACAAGGCTGCAGCTCGCTGCAATTCCACTGCACATTCTCCGGCTCTGCTCCGCATGGCTAGTTCTGCCGGCACACAACCCATTGGTCCTGTACCTGTCACAAGCACCCTTCTTCCTCCCAATTCATACAGCCTCTGCAATTGTACAGTATCAATTTGGCATAGGGAAAAAGTGAATATCAATTAGAGATTTTGATGATTCATACCAAAAAAGCTGTTGGAGGCAAATATAATTGAGGAAATATACTAGCGTCCCTTAATACTACATTATTGTTTAGAGCCTGATGATAGTACAAAGTTGTCGGAGCCCCAGTTGTTGGCAAATTTGGCATGTTTGGTAGGTCTGCAAAATTGTAACTTTGCCACACTTGCTAGTAACGATAAAGCTATAAAACAATCCGTTGGGCAATTCCCTTATATTCTTCTANTGGTGGGCAAAATTGTAACTTTGCCACACTTGCTAGTAACGATAAAGCTATAAAACAATCCGTNAGGTCTGCAAAATTGTAACTTTGCCACACTTGCTAGTAACGATAAAGCTATAAAACAATCCGTTGGGCAATTCCCTTATATTCTTCTATGTGATTTCTTTTAGATATTTGGTTTTTTTAGTCTCTTGTTATTGTATATGGAATCAAAGTTAATTTCTAACAAGTAAGAGAGGACTAGTGGATATACATTTGCAAGTTAACACTAAATAAGTTGACTTGTTTCACAAAAAATTTGAATTGCATTCACCTGCCATTTTTCATTTAAAATATGCTCCTTTTATTTATTCAGAAGGGAAAATTAGATACACAAGTTTATCCTAGACTAGTGGTTACATTTTTTTTTTTACCAAGACTAGTGGTTACTTGTTGACGATAGAATTTTTTTTTTTAGTTCAACAGTCAATAGTGTTTAAGTCAATTTATGTGTATTTTGATTAATTCTTTTTTTGATTTGATCAAAATCAAGTCATCTACGTTTGAATCAGTGTATTCATGAGAGATAAATTTTTAATAATCTAATCCCAAAAAATTATCAAGATTCAAAATTAAAACATCTGAATTTACACCTTGTCTATATTATTCAATCACAATAAGTTTTTTTTTTTNTACACAAGTTTATCCTAGACTAGTGGTTACATTTTTTTTTTTACCAAGACTAGTGGTTACTTGTTGACGATAGAATTTTTTTTTTTAGTTCAACAGTCAATAGTGTTTAAGTCAATTTATGTGCATTTTGATTAATTCTTTTTTCGATTTGATCAAAATCAAGTCATCTACGTTTGAATCAGTGTATTCATGAGAGATAAATTTTTAATAATCTAATCCCAAAAAATTATCAAGATTCAAAATTAAAACATCTGAATTTACACCTTGTCTATATTATTCAATCACAATAAGTTTTTTTTTTTTTGGGGTGAGGGGGGAAGGAGTTTGAACCCTTAACTTTAAAAAGACAAAACTTTTATAAGATAAGGTGTACCATTTGACCAAAGACTCTTTCGTAATTGCAATAGGTTTAACCTCTCTCGTTTGCTGCGTATGTGCTGGCACAACTGTGTGTTTGCGTGTTAGAGAGAANTCTTTCGTAATTGCAATAGGTTTAACCTCTCTCTCTCGTTTGCTGCGTATGTGCTGGCACAACTGTGTGTTTGCGTGTTAGAGAGAAAATACGATCCCTCCTAAATGCAAATTCTACAAAGGCTTTAATGTTCACGTGATGAAACAGCACCATAATGGTCAGTTTACCTAACCAAACATGCCCCTCATAATGGCCCAATCAATATTGCCCACCCACACGTATGGACGACATATTCATATCCTTTATCTCAGCTTCAGCATTTAGTTCTATAATAAATTACCAAATTATGACATTGTTTACACTTCATTTTATATGTACTACAATTTTTAACTTATTTCTCAATCTATTGTTATTTACTTAGACTATAAAAAAACTATATGGACATACCATTAGAACTTTTCTGTATTCGGAAATGACATATCGGACATAATCAGGCAGTGAAAACTGGCGAGATCTTGCAGAGAATGGCACCAAATAATAGTTGTTGACGAAATCGTTGCCGCCAAGGGTGATGAGGACAAGTGCTTGGTTAACAAGCTGCTGTGTCTGTGCAGGTCCAAGAAGACCACTCACCCGTGTCTGGTACTGTTGAAAATATTCCAACTGCTTCCAAATTCTGATTATATTCAGCTGCAAAAACGTACAATTTGAGACATTATCGTTAGATGAAGATAGTGAAATGGAATATGCCAATAGTTTGCAAGTAATGGCCGTGTGTTATCAAGAAAAGCGATGAACTACAGTGGCAGTCCTCAATGAATGTGCTAAGTGTCATTTTAGCTGTGACAGTTCTGCCACATGCCGCTCCGGTGATGAAGGAAAAGCATCTAGTGGGGTCAACTGAACAACACGTGGTGTAATCCCGTCAGAAATTTCGATGATGTTAGCATTGGAGATCACTTAAACTTAATCTCAATACTTAACGAATTAAATTAAAGCAATTAAACGTTAGAGACTGAAGACATACACAAAGGACTGTCACTATATTAATATGACGCAAGCACTGCATTAATTAGTATTCCTTGAGAATGTACTTTTAACAATGAAAAAGAAATGTTTAGCCAAAATTGAAAAAAATGGACGTACAAATTGAATTCCAGTGTCATTGAGGATTCCAATCCCAGCAGAGGCAAAGTTGGCCCCAACAAGAAGTCTTTCTCCCGTGAGCAGAGGACTCAAGTACGGCAATGTGGGCTCGGCCCCCATAGACTCGCCTGAAAATGCACGTTGTACTCATTAACCTAATTCATGCACACTATGTACCATACCATGCAATGTAAATCTTGTATTTAATATTTTAACAATATTGATAAAGAGAATTCAGAACCGAACTGATGATATCTGGAATGTTGAGGCCGTTAGAGAAGCGGCCAGTGGGACGGTGAGTTGGGTAGTCAATGCCATAAGGGGGTGAGTCGGCACGGGCCGTGGTGACCAGGAAGTCATTGTTGCCACTATCAACTAGTGAATCTCCGAAAACGAAGAACGCCCGAGCCTCGGCTTGAGGAGAAACAGTTGCCAGTGCCAGTATCAGACTCAGAATCATCCAACCACCAGTAGAATATGAGCTGTCCATGGTGATGATTCAGACAAACCCTAGAACAGCTCTTGTTTTTCTGCACAAACTACCCTGGGTTGAGGATGGTGGAGGTAAGGATAGCCTTATATAAGCCTAGGAGTGTGACTAGTGAGCCACATTAAATGGTTTGTTCTACCACCACTGGAGAGAAGAAAAGAGGACCACAAGGACAAGAGCAAGCTAGTAAAATTATTCTAGCTGCTCTGCACCGTCACCTTTTTTTTTTTTTTTTTTGAACAAGCTCTGCACCGTCACCTTCACTTGTGTGTTTTGGCAACTGAATGCCCATTCAAAAAGGTGCAAGTAGAGTAGTGTGCATTTGTCAGGTTCTGCACAGGTTGACTACAGCTAAACCTTTTCTTTGACTTATTGAGACTTAATTTGAAGATTTAATTTAGAGAAATATATGAAGGACAAGTATACAACTATCAAATGGGTAATGGATGTTAACATTGATTAGAATCCATTGTCAGACTAAAAAATAAAATGCATTAGGCCTTCAAATTAAATCTCAATAATAATATTCTTAGTTTAATTACAATATAAATAAACAAAAACTCGTACGAATTTACACCTCTTTCTCCACCTTGGCCTTGCATTCCATGCACCCAACCCAAGCTAACTTCACCTTGCCCCGCGATGTGGGAAATTACCAACACAAACTACCTTCACCTTACCCTGCGTTGTGGGAAATTACCAGTGAGTGGACTGGAAAACTTTTGGGATGGGTAGTATACAAAGATGAAGCAAAAAAGAAATGAGAAANTCGAAGAATTTACACCTCTTTCTCCACCTTGGCCTTGCATTCCATGCACCCAACCCAAGCTAACTTCACCTTGCCCCGCGATGTGGGAAATTACCAACACAAACTACCTTCACCTTACCCTGCGTTGTGGGAAATTACCAGTGAGTGGACTGGAAAACTTTTGGGATGGGTAGTATACAAAGATGAAGCAAAAAAGAAATGAGAAATTCGTTTTTTTTTTTTTTTTTTAAAAAGTCAATTGAGTGGTTACATGTGCCAAGTGGGGAATCGATTGGTAGGAAACTAATTTTCAATTATTTAACTCAATAACCTGATAATTAAGTGAAGCAATCGGGATAGAAGATTTCCCAAATTCTCTCTCCCACAATATGATTTTTACATGTAGATATTACAAGAACATATTGTCATGTACTAGGTGGCTTGTGGGGTTTGGTTAGATTTTTGCAAGTTACCGAGTTAACACAGTTTATGTCAACACCGACACTAACTGTTCTTTTAATATGTATACGGATATATCTTTTTCCTTAATTAAGCTAACTTCTTCATCACTTTGATGCTGATTGGAATTCTTGATTGATTCTTCCAAATGATGGGGCATAAATGCAGCATTTCCAATGTTTTGTGGGCAATCACTGTCTAATAAGGAATAGTATCAAGCCTTTCAGCATCTCTCAAACATCATCATGTGCAAAAGCATCACTAACTACTCCATCATTCATTGGATTGGCCATACAAAAATTCAATAACATCATACTTGTTTCTGGATAAGGAGGCACTACGGTGGAGGTACCATGTCAAAATTGGTCCACAGTTATTGATTTTGGTTTGTTAATATACAACCATTGATTAAAAAAAATAAGAAAGCAATAAATAATAAAAAAATATAAATGTGGTAGATTTTTATTGGATGAAAATTGTAGGTCCAAAATAAAAAAAAAAAAAATGGCATTTTGGTATTGGAAATTGTTTCTGATTGGCAAGATTAACTAGGTTCCTTTGATGATAATGACCAATGTCAGAGAAAGTAAAATATTGTGCACAAATTGTTTCTTCGTATATTTTTTTCCTACATATTTAATCAACGGAATAATTTTTTGGTATCTGGGGCAAGATGTGGTCAATGTTTCGAAGTCGCTTATTTCATAGTTTGTGCATCATGTGAAAATTCTCTTTTAAAATCATCTCATTTACTCTCCAAAAGGAATTTTGTCCAAAAAAAAAAAGAAAGAAATTTAATTACCAGTTTTATGATTAATTTACATGGATCTTGTCACATAAATACAAAACTTATAGATGCGCATATTTAATACTAACATATAAGAAAAAAGCTAAAAAAGAAAAACAAAAACAAAACAAAACAAATGCTACTTAGAAAAGTACTTAAATTGAAAACAGGAAAAGAAAACTTAAACCTTGCTCAAATAGTATTTTGCTTTTGACATTCTTAAATCTATAATATAAAATAAGGTGGGGTTAAATAAATTCATTTGACAGTCTAAAATAGACTCATTTTGGTGGGGTTAAATAAATTCATTTGACGGTCTAAAATAGACTCATTTAACGACCATCAACGTCCTTCTCAAAATCATTCACATTGAATTTCCCCCTCCAAGTACATTATTTCTCATATATGTTGCACCATATCCCTCCTTAGTTCTCACTTAAATTGCACCGTATTTTCAGACACGGATTATACCTAGTAATATTATATAACATTATTACAAAATCAAAGAGACAGAACCTTCTATAATATATATTTTTTCTATATAAAAAGTGATCCTTAGGATGCAAGAATTAAAGGTGAAAATCTATCGCCTCTATGTTTGCTGGTGATTTATTGTTGTATGAAATATCCTAATAACAACTACTTCCGAGGACATTTTAGTTATGTATTAATTACTTTTAAAGCTTCATAAGTTCCATCTTTCAGTTGATATGTAAATTTTTACATAAAAATAAAGCTTTTCAAGACACTCACTGCATGATACACCTTATAGCTTAACCTACTACAGCTTGCTTATTCATGAAGGGAGAAGAAGGGACAGATATGATCCCATCAGGTATGAAGCCATGTGATCATTAACTGGTGTGGGGTTGGATTTTAGCTACCTCCAAAGGCTCACACTTTCCCTATATAAGACACCTTCAAAGATTAATAGTGCCAACTACTTTTATTGTTTGAGTTGCTGGGAATTTAAGTCTCACTCACTATTGCCAGCTTTTAACAACCTGTGAATTCAATAGTGCATATATTTAGATTTAAAATTTTCTCATTTGTTCGAGAGTCACACACACAGTGTACAAGATATCTACCTAAAGTGAGACTTCACAGAAGTGTTAACCTTATCCCATTTAGAGGAGACCTATTCTCGAAATAGCTAGGAGGGGATGAATACAGGCCATCGCACCGATGACCTATAATTTCATCATTTATTTAAAATTCATAATTTATGGATGATAGAGCAATTATCTTTCCCTTTGCCTTTCCCATCCACCCCACAAGAACGCTACACAAGAATTAGTATTCTTATTAGTGAATATACAGACCTAAACAAAAACGTTGCTGAGACTTATTAATAATCATATTTTGCTAAAGAATCAAATTCAGAAAGAAAAATAGAAACATTTATGGAATTAAGACTCACTAAAAAGTGTAACAAATGAACTATGAAGCGCAGAAAGAAGCTTAATACGTCAGAGGCCTCCAAAAGGTATTCAATCCACCATCCTGGTTCGTGAACCCAGTTTTTCAGGCTCTTAAATTCGAGTACTGGAAATGACAATGAAGAGCTACAGGAATTCACTCATTTTACACACAAGTACAATCTACATTCTCGAATGAAATCATAAAAAATGCAAGCGAAAAATGATTTGCTGTCTTACTTTCTCTGTGATCAGCGCCTATCGTGTTTGGGTAACTAAGCTTATATATATCACTGTCCACAGAGGTAAATCTTGCATTAAATTTCCATGCAACTTGACTGCATGAACTTGATTGGTATTTGAAGCTTACATATATCACTGTTCACATTTGAATTATTAACATGTGGGTGGTTATTTGTGCAGTTCTGTCCCTAACCAGTCATTGCTTCAGTTTTTACTCGGGGGCTTTTTTCTCCATTTTTTTTTTTTAACATAGTCTCTCACAACAGTTCTATTTTTAGTAGACTAAGTAACATAGAGCTTCTCTCGTGCGAGATCTGCTGTGTGGTCCTTAACCGATTTCTTACTGCATGCTTTGAGCTTTATTGTACTATTATATAATTGACAAAACAGTGTTACGACAATGCTCAAATCAACATCTTTAATTGTACCTGTCGTTCATGAACATTACAAAACCATTTATAAGACATTGATTATCATGTGTCATTGTCTTTGTATTCTGAATTGCTTTATAGTAAGGTTGTACTATGATTTGACATGATGTGATTATACCCGAAGAAAAGGCTGGAATCAGGTCAACCAAATTCTGAATTGAGACATTGAACGATTGAACTTATGTCCCTAAAAGTTTCTGAAAATCTTAGCTGCATGATAAAGAGAGAACAAAGTTCTGATTATTATGGGTGGGATTGCTTTGGAAATGTCATCTTTGGTGTCTAAGTTAGCATCATGCAGATAGATTGGTACCAAATTGCCACTTTTCAGATGGACCATTTAAATTTGAATGGTTGTTGTAATTAACTCTATCATTACTCATTTATACAATGAGTTAACGAACCTGGAGAATCAGGACATTGGGCTCCAGTGCCATGTGCACATGTCCTGAAAGAATGCCCCAAAATGATTGTGTTGGCGTTCACTGAGGAAAAAAAATCCAACTTGACCTTCCTTTCTTATCATTTTAATTTTAATTTCATAGATTAATATATAGAGATGAATTTAGCAACATACAACAATCTCAACTCACTGAGTCACAAAGAATTCGTGGTTATAATGTAAAATAAAAACTTAACGTAGTCATTGACAAACAACATACATTAAGTCGGCTAATACATCTAATTATGTAGACACATTTATTAAAGTTTTTGATGACTAATCCCTTATAACTCAAATTCACTAATTTCATATTGATTTCGTGTCTAGTGGACGGGTTGTATTCTGGAATTATCAATTACGAATAGCAGTCTCATATGCTTAAAAGACTTTATCTTCTCCTTTTCTTTCTCAAGAAAGCAAAAGAAAATTGTTGTACAGGAGACTCGAGGTCATTGAAAATGTATAGCTTGTTAACCACTCCAATAAACTTACACATCACTTGGTAAAACATTTTTTTCAAAAGGGAAATATTATTTGGATTTTATTTGAAG